TATCTGTTCTGTTAATTTGTGGTGAAAGTTAAGTGACAGAACATGCCAAATGTTTACTGAGCACATTGCCTGGCTTACTCTACATACCTTACATGTTAGCTTCTGCTTCTGGAATTAGTCAAAAGAATAGTTAAAAGAGTTCTGTGCTGGGTCACTCCAGTCATTTCACACCTTCCTCACTATCTCCTCTTTGTATTCTAATTTGGGGCAGAGGATAGGCATCTGTGAGGAGGAATTTCATGAAGGGGTCAAGGCAAGGTATGGTAAAGGCAGGTGGACATCAAAAACTATCTTCCTCGTTCACTGTTTTTCCCAAGCTGGCATTTCAAAATCGTGTCTTATCATAGAATGCCTATTCTTGATTGAATTACAAATTTGTGACTGTCATGTATAGATGATAGTGGTAGACAGGCAAAAGTATAGATAGATGACAACTGCCTTATGGCGTAATACAGTATGACTGACGGACTTGAATACAGGGCAACACAAAATGAGAAACGTGAAGTGTAAGGCAGGTCCCTCAGAAAAGCTTGTAACCCAGTGGTATCTTCAGGGTTTGACAACTGGTATCTTCCACTGTTACTTTTTATTTTTTCCTTTAACAGGAGACATATTTGTGGAAATAGCATTTGGAGTCCCACTCCTCCTCTTATCCGTGACCATGGGCTAATTATTTATCTGGGCTTTAGTTTCTCCATCATTACAACAAAGAGATGTCCTGTCCTTTTCCACCCTATTCTAAAATTGTGTAACTTTTTTTTTTTTTTTTTGAGACAGTGTCTCACTGTGTCGCCCAGGCTGGAGTGCAGTGGCGTGATCTCAGTTTACTGCAACCCAGCCACCTCCTTGGTTCAAGTGAGTCTCCTGCCTGAGCCTCCCGAGTAGCTGGGATTACAGGTGTGCACCATGACACCGGCTAATTTTTGTATTTTTAGTAGAGACAGGGTTGCACCATTTTGGCCAGGCTGGTTTCGAACTCCTGACCTCATGTTACGCCATGTTGCCCAGGTTGGTCTCGAACTCCTGGTCTTAAGTGATTCTCCCACCTCGACCTCCCAGAGTGCTGGGATTATAAGTGAGAGCCACCAAACCCAACCCTCTGCATGTTTTAATATTTATGCCACTAAGTATAAGGACACTAATAATACTTTGTGCTCACAGTGATGTTTACTGTGCAAACATGACCAATCAACAGTAAGGAAAACTCCTTTGGTAGTTTGTGGCTTGTATATATAACACCGAAAGGACTCTGATATATTTTCCTCTCAATAAAGAGAAATTAATTGATTTTTCCTGATGACTCAGGTGCGTAGTGATATGCTCGCCCTTGTATGAAGATGATTCTGTGGTTTCCTCTCCTTTGGCTATCACTTCTGTTCATTAGTCAATAGTTCCCTCCTATTTGCTGCACTGTGAAAAAGCAAATTGGAAACCAGATGACCAAATTTATAAGGTTAATAACTTTTTTTTTTTTCCCTGAGATGGACTTTTGCTCTGTTACCCAGGATGGAGTGCAGTGGTGCGATCTTGGCTCACTGCAACCTCTGCCTCCAGGGTTCAAGCAATTCTCCTGCCTCAGCCTCCTGAGTAGCTAGGATTATAGGTGCCGGCCACCACACCCGGCTAATTTTTGTATTTTTAGTAGAGATGAGGTTTTACCATGTTGGACAGGCTGGTCTCGAACTCCTGACCTCGTGATCCACCTGCCTCAGCCTCCCAAAGTGCTGGGATTACAGGTGTGAGCCACGGGGTCCCGCAGGTTAATAACTTTTAAAATTGCAGTAAGCTTGAACCCAAGGATAGATCTCTACTTCTTGAAGCTTTGTACAAGTATTTTTCTTGGTGCTTGAAAGCTCTTTGTTGGTAGATTTGTGTTCATGTTTTACATGTTTGGTTGAGGCTACCATATCTGGTCCCTATGTTCATGAAATGTTACTAAGTTCTGGATCATTTGAATGTTTTTTAAAATTATTATTTTATTTTTTGAGACGGAGTTTCACTCTTGTTGCCCAGGCTGGAGTGCCATGGTACGATCTCGGCTCACTGCAACCGCTGCTTCCCAGGTTCAAGTGGGACTATAGGCGCCGGCCACCACACCCAGCTAATTTTTTGTATTTTTAGTTAAGACAGGGTTTCACCCTGTTGGCCAGGCTAGTCTCGAACTCCTGATCTCAAGTGATCCACCCGCCTCGGCCTCCCAAAGTGCTGGGATTACAGGTGTGGGTGTGGGCCACCACACTTAGCCTTTTTCTTTTTTTTTTGAGACAGGGTCTCACTTTGTCACCCATTGGAGTGCAGTGGTATGATCATAGCTTACTGTAATCTTGAATTCCCGGGTTGAAGCGATTCTCCCACCTCAGCCTTCCATGTAGCTGGGACCACAGGTATGAGCCACTGCACTCCGCCCCTTTTCATAGTTTCAAGTCTTATAAAAAGTTACTTTGTGCACAGGTTGCTTTTACTCAGATTGTTGATGACAAATCTTTTGCCCAAACCAGAGTAAGTTACATCCATGCTAACCTAGAAAAAATCGGCTTTGGTAAGAACCTCTGATGTTTAAGTTTCCTTCATGAGGCAGTGTGTTTAATCTTAAAAAACGTCATTGGTAGATTTCTCTGTCATATAAACAAGAATCCTATAACTAAAACCTAGGAAGGTATTTTCGTACAGTACTGTTTACATATTGGTCCATTTGTTTTGATTTTTCTACCTGTAAGCATGATTTCTATCTTTAATGTCTTTCATTACGTAATGTTTTAATGTAATACATTATGGGTGTATTGAGGCACATATCCATGATAATTTATTGTGCTGCTTCAAGTGTTTATTTAGTAGAGCAGTTCTGCTTTCTGGGAATCCTTCAGATGCTGTTAAAATTCATTGACCCTCATGTGTAAACAAGTTGGTTATCGTGTTGCCGTTTACGTACAATTCTTACCTAATTTCTCTCTTCCTTCCTTGTAGAACTGTTTAGGGGAGCAAGAGACCTTTCCTCTTAACATCTCACACAGAATTCCATTCTGCTTTTATTGCCTAGCACAGGGGTCAGCAAATTACCTCCCGTAGGCCATATCTAACGCACCACCAGTTTTTCTATGGTGTGTGAGGCAAGAATGGTTTTTATGGCATTAAATGGTTGACACAAAAGTAAAAATAGTATTTTGTGATATGAAAATCATTTGAAATTTAAATTTCATGTCCATAAATAGGGTTTTATTGGGATATAGCCATGGTCTATGGCTGCTTCCTCTGCCATAAAGACGGAGTTGAGTAGTTGCAAAAGAAACCACATCACCTACTGAGCAGCCCTTTACAGAGAAATTTTGCTGCCTTCTGGCCTAGCTGGTTGTTTGCCGCGGTGCCATCCCTTCTTTTCCTTTTCCCTGTACTCCAAAATCCTCTTGGCTGGTTTTTTAGAGAAATGTAAGCTTTCTTCTACTTGGAATTTATTTAATGATAGATCCCATAAACCAAAGCATGGATGGATCTCTCAGTTGAGTTAGAGGTATCTGATCAAGCCTGGGACATTCTATTCCTAGTACTAACTATTCTCAATCCTATTTTTATGTACTGAAAATACTAATTATTGCCAATTATAAGATTAAAATATTTGCAGTTGATTAGTTTTTATTTAGCCTAGTTCTCTAGTTCAAATGCCTAATGAGTTACGCTGTATTAATCTGTTGTGTTGTGAAACTTATGTTATCTGTCATTACAAGGCAGAACTAGACCTTCTGTTTCAGTAGCCAGAAATCACTTTTTTGTTTGATCTTTTTAAAACAGAAAAAAAAAAATCACTTTAGATTTCTCTTAAAGCTAAAGGTGAGGGTTGTATAGGGTAAGAACAATCATCGTGCTTCAGGGTTATAAAACACTTCAACCTCTTTGGAATTTTTATAAGTACTGCCACCTCTGCTTCATTGGAATTGATTAGTACCTTGAAGGTGATAATATGCTTTCTCAATTCAAGACACTTCTAATTGTGAGAGGGGCACTAATTCCTTGAGACCCGAGGACAACAGGTATAAACTGGGCCTGTCCTGACAGAATCAGGATTATTAGGTCCCCCTAACTTTAGTAAGTGGCAAGCTTCTGCTGTTTTTTTTTGTTGTTGTTTTGTTTTTTTGAGATGGAGTCTCGCTCTTTCGCCAGGCTGGAGTGCAGTGGTGTGATCTCTGCCTCCTGGGTTCAAGCGATTCTCCTGCCTCAGCCTCCCGAGTAGCTGGGACTACAGGCATCCGCCACCATGCCCAGCTAATTTTTGTGTAGTACAGATGGGGTTTCACCATGTTGGCCAGGATGGTCTCGATCTCTTGACCTCATGGTCTGCCCGCCTTGGCCTCCCAAAGTGCTGAGATTACAGGCGTGAGCCACCGCACCCAGCTTTTCTGCTTTTTTAACATGCCACCTCAGAATTATTTGTCCCAACCAGAAGATAGAGGTAATAATGAATTTAGCCTAGATAAAAATCTGTCAAACTCAGATTCTTTCTAAATGTAAATACAAAATGGCATCCCTGTTTTAGTAACTAGGTTTTTTTTTTCCTTCATAATTTAGAAACACAAATGGCCATTTACTTTGGTCATAATACAACTGTCGTATATTAAACTTCTATTCAAATATGTAGGTTTTGTTTTGTTTTTGAGATGGAGTCTAGCCCTATTATTGCCCAGGCTGGAGTGCAGTGGTGTGATTTTGGCTCACTGCAACCTCCACCTCCAGGGTTCAAGTGATTCTCCTGTCTGAGCCTCCTGAGTAGCTGGGATTACAGGCGCCCACCACCATGCCTGGCTAATTTTTGTACTTTTAGTAGAGACGGGGTTTCACCATGTTGGCCAGGCTGGTCCTGAACTCCTGACCTCAAGTGATCCACCTGCCTCGACCTCCCAAAGTGCTGGGATTACAAGTGTGAGCCACCTCGCCTGGCCCAAACATGTAGGTTAAAGGTTTTATATTTACTTACTTTAGATACTGACCACATACAACAGATTATTCAAGAGTCATGTAGAAAAATGAGGTCCAAAACAAACTTTATTTACATAGAGACAATAAGGATCTCAATAACTCAAATACTGAATAATTAAGCTGTAGGTTGACTAGAAGTCCGTGATTCACCAATCCTGTTTTATGGAAGTAGTATAAAACTACATTTGTTATTTTCCCTCAGTTCTCTGGTATTCTTGAAGCTTGAAAGATTCAGAACACTTTAATGGTAACTTGTTGAACAGCAATAGAAATGAGATGATGTACTTAAAAGTCAGTCTCTCACAAAAAAGACGTTATATCCGAGTTCTGTTAAAGCCCCAGTCAGCAAGGCCCATAAAGGAATGAAGACATAGGATAGATTCATGGTAGTAAACTGTTCCAGTTTAGCACAGAGTGCGAGGCAGAAGGCTAATTTAAGTAACATTGCAATGAGGTACCAGGCTTTTTTTTTAATATTGTGTGATCCATGTCGAGGGTCAAAGCCAGACTTACACCGCCCAGCCATTTTCACAATCAGCATGACAAGAAGGATAGTATCAAATATCCAGACTGGAATAAATATGAGGAACCAGTTCCAAGGTGCCTTCTCATCCAGTTTCAACACCAACATGATCAAGAAGAGTAATGTGAAAAGCCAGGTGAGTAGTACTCTCTGAGCCAAGGACATTCTCATTTAAACAGTTTAAAGAGGCTGTTGCAGGATCGAAAAAAAGGAAATACACCCTAAGAGAAGGAGAAAAAGTCAAGATTGTTTTGATACCAGAAAAAAAGTATCACTTCCATTCCTAGTGAACAAAACTGGTTCTTTCCCAACTGACTTCCTAATTTTGAAAACATTCTACTATTCTTCCTTACAAATCCTCTAAAACTTAGTGATCATTGACATTATATCCACCATTCCTTACAGCCCATGACAAAATACAATTTTTAGTATATCCACTGTATAAGCTCTATTCAAAATGTCAGGTGATTCCTTTTCAATGCTATCACTCGAGTCCAGGCACTTACAACTTTATTCTTGCACCGCAAAGATGTTCTTCATCTTCCTATACATTTGCAAATCTGTAATTTTTCATTCAGTTTCAAGGGGTACAAAGAAAAAAGCATTCAAAGTAGTGAAAAAGGGAAAGGTGGGTATCAAGCTGAGAAGAGTTTTAAAAGAAGGGAATGGGAAGGGTGCGCGACTCACGCCAGTAATCCCAGTACTTGGGTAGGAGAAGGTGGGCCTATCACTTGAGCCCAAGAGCTCCACGCCAGCCAGGGCAATATAGCGAAACCCTGTCTCTACAAAAAATAAAAAAATTGGCAAGGCGTGATGGTATGCACCTTGTAGTCGCAGCTACTGAGAGGCTAAAGTGGGAGGATTGCTTGAGTCCAGGAAGTCGAGGCTGTAGTGAGTGACCCGTGAGATCGTGCCACTACACTCCAGCCTGGGCAACAGAGTGAGATCCTGTCTCAATCAATCCATCCATCAATAAAAGGAGGGAACGATTAATAAAAATTACAAGAATATAAAGTAGAATTAACATTTTAGTGGCTGGAGGCAGTGGCTCATGCCCATAGTCCTAACCCTTTGGGAGTCCAAGCAAGGCAGGTGCATCTCTTGAGCCCAGGAGTTCACGACTAGTCTGGGCAACATGGTGAAACCCCGTCTCTACTAAAAATACAAAAAATTAGGTGCAGTAGCACGTGCCTGTATTCCCTCCTACTCGTGATGCTGAAGTGGGAGAATCACCTGAACCCGGGAAGTCAAGGCTGCAGTGAGCCATGTTGCTCACTGCACTCCAGCCTAGGCGATGGGAGACAGACCACTGTCTAAAAAAAAAAAAATTGTAAAGAGGTTGTTAGGCTATATAATATAAAAGGCATTGGTAACACTGGATTTTCACATAGTCTGAAACTTATATTCTTAAATTCTCACTTATTTTCTCATAAAAATTCTTACAAATATCTTCTTGATATAATAGATTTTTTCCTTTTAATAATACTCTCACTGATTTGTGGAGATATATATATATATAAAACTACTTGTTATCCATTCAATAATCAGGACCACCTAATAACTTTTGATGTTTTGTGATTATTAGATGCTAAATTTTGGGGGCTATTTCTTATATCACTATTCTGCCTCACTGATCCATATGTTTCTCTTTTGCACTAATACTGTATGACTTACTGTTGCTCTAGGAATGTATTAATATCTGGAAGACCTAGTATCTACTAGCTGTTCTCTTTTCTAGAATCTTTTTTTCTTTTTTTTTTCTTTTTTGAGATGGAGTCTCACTCTGTCACTCAGGCTGGAGTGCAGTAGCACGATCTCGGGTCACTGCAGCCTCTGCCTTTCGGGTTCAAGTGATCCTCCCACTTCAGTTTCCCAAGTAGCTGGGGTTTCACCATGTTGGCCACGCTGATCTCGAACTCCTGATCAAGTGATCCACCCACCTCAGCCTCCCAAAGTGTTGAGATTACAGGTGTGAGCCATCATGCCGGCTTCTTTTCTAGAATATTTTCTATTTTGTCCTTACAGTTTTTCAATGCTAAAATTGCTAAGCTGATTCTTAAAAACTTAGAATTTTGATTGTGAATGCATAAAACTTAGGGATAGCATTTATTTTATTTCATCTTCACATATAGGTTTATGATATGTTCCTCTACTTAAGTTTTTTATACCAACCTTTATGACCATTTGGAAAAAGGATAAGTAGAATGGGAAATCAGAAGCCAGACTGTATGCAGTTAACAGAAGATCAAGAAATGGAAACAATTGAGAACACTTTATTCCTTTGAGGCATTTGGAGAAGAGAAAATGAAAGATAGGGTATATGAAACTGAAAGAAGAAATTTTCAGGAAAGGAAGAATTTATGACTACAAACAGAGAAATAAGCCAATGGGGAATGGCCCTGAAGATGAGAGAGGATACTTGATGGAAAGAGAAAAAGATCAGAAGGTGCTACCCATAGGAACAAAAGCATGCGTGGTAGGAGGAAAGATGCAGGAAGATAATAGAGAAAAGGTGAAGAAACTGGCTAATTGAGCCAAATACCCTAGATTAGCGTGCTCAATTATGTTTTAGAACTAACTTTGATGTACTGTGCAACATCTATACTACTTTAAATAGTGGATGGCTATCACGGTGCAAGAGGACACATCTGTTCTATTTCAACAGTTAAGTATGAGTCTCCTAACTCACCTCTTTTCCCTTATACCCATCTAGTGGCACTTAAACTTGTTTACTTAATTGGCACAGGCTTCATACTGCAGTACTTTTGCTCCTAAGGAGGCATTTTTCTGTGTTGGTTTCCTTTCCCGGCCAGAGGCTGCCATATAGTGGGATGTGGGACTGAATTTGGAAGCAGGGTTGGATGGGTGTGTGTTGATTAATAACCATGGATGGATTTCATCCTGTAAATTGCACAATCCCCATCTCCAATCTATCTGGCCGTTTTTGTGAACCTCTGAAAAACGGTTTACGATTATACATTTGCTTAAACCTAACTGTTCCATCTGCCATCGGATAAGACAAGCTTCATTTTTTTCTTATATTTGGCTGCACTCACCACAGGTGCTTTAAGGCTGGAGGTGAAAGGATGCAAGTAACAATCTTATCGTGCCTACAAGATTTATAATGTGGGATGTAACAAAATTCTGTTATGTTCTTGCACGAAAATACCCTCAGTGGGGAAGCACTGCTGATACTTAAATGACGATTGAAGGATTGTACGCTTGTAGGCTGAGCTACAACGATGACATACGATCCCAGTTTTACATTTACGTCTTCATCAATTTGGGCAGTCGTTATGTTTCCTACTATTCTCTCCACATGAAAGGGGGAGGTGCGTACTCCAAAAATGTGCTCAACTAAAATGTTTCCCATTTAAGGTGGCTATTTCCTGCACTAGGAAGACACTTAAATATTTGTTAATGATTCCTTATTCATTTTTAAAACCTTCGGAGTGACCCCGTTATGGAAATATATAGAGCCCCACCCACATCGCCCGCGGGTGGGTATCAGCCCCCATTTCCCTTCTCTCGCCACTGCCAGTACTCTACCAAGTGAACCTGCCTCATCCCAAAGATAATTTTGCTTCATGAGTCCACATATTTATTCTTCATAATGAGTCGCTTTTGAAAAGCCTTGCAGCAACGGCCTTGCCAAAGGAACAGCGTTCTGCTTACAACTTAGCTTATCTGGGGGCCTACTTGCCCCTGGAACTTCAGGACGCTCCTAAACTATACTTGCCCTTCTGCAAACACCGACAGTCGGCTCGCGGCGCCCCACCCGGACGCTCCCCTTTTATGGGCTGTGGGCCCAGCACACGTTGGAGTTTACCACGGTTCCTGCTGGATGCGCACAGAAGCCCTGGAGCCAAGCAGGCGTGTGCGCGTTTGGGGCTGGCTGTGTGATGGGTTGGGGGTCGGCCGCACAGCCCACGGAAGCATCAGGAGACCAGCGCCGGTCTACCGTGCGGGCTAGGGCAGAGCCCCAGACTCACCTGGCAGCGCCACCGGCCGGAGAGCGGAGAGGGACGCGAAGATCAGGAAATTCGCCAGTTTGGATGCTTGTCCTTTTCCGCACTTTTCCCCCCATTAAATCCAGAACCCGTCACATGATAATTAAGAAAAAAATTCAGTTCCGCCTCCCCAAAACACTGCGTTATAGGATCTCTCAGTCCTACCTCAGTGCCGCGCCCACATCCGGGGCTGGTTCTCACCGCCCCTGAGCCTATCCTATAGGTAGGGAGGACGCCAATCTGGATTCAGAGGTCCCTTTTCCGCGGTAATTGGACCATTTGTCCTCCGGTGTAAACCAACCGACTTTCCTAACTTTCGGGTTGGACAGAAAGGCGGCAATAAAAAGCCCCATTGGTCCCGCCTCTCTACTGTCACGGGTTAGGAGGGAAATCAGTCCAAGTTCAGCCTGGAGTTTCCGTGCTCCCATTGGGCCCACAGATGTTAATCAGAGCAGCCGGCGCTCAGCTCCGCCCTCTCGGGACGCCCCGCCCCTCCTCCCATCCTCCCTGCCCGCGCGCAGTGACTGCAGGCTCCGGCGCAAAATCCTGCGGGAGAGGGGGTGGGGCAACGCTCTGGAGGCAGCGCGCCCGCCGGCAGCCTCGTTGTGGCTCCTCGGGCTCTGTCGGCGGCGGCGCTAGCCTCGGAGTCTCCCGCGCGCACCTCAGCCGCCTCCTAGCGGCGCGGCGCCCGCTCCTACGGTAAGAGCGGCATCACCTCCGCGCTCGGGTGGGCCGTGTGGAGGTCGTCGAGTTCTGACACAATCTCGAGGATGGATCGGGACGAGGGAGGATAGCGGTCGTCGGGATGGAGGTGGGGGCTCCGGGGCCAGCGCGTCGCCCTCCGCCGCCGGCGTCTTTCCCGGCAGTCTCCCGTACCTGAGGGCCGGAGTCAGCCGCGACCCCCTCCTATCAGTCGGCTGGTGGCGGAGGCTCAGCCGCCTTCCCCCCGAGCTCGCGCGGTCCTCAAGCCTTGATGGTGACGGGCCGAACCCCAGCACCGCCACCCGCCCCTCGGGCCCCGCTCCCAGGCCCCTGTCCTTTGCTTCCTTCCCTTAGCGCTGTGCTGAGGGGACGTCGGGTCCTGGAAGGGCGTTCAGGGGTCTCGGGTGGCTAGCCCGGCGGGCAGGGAGAGGTCAGCTAGCGGCCGGAGGAGCGGGCTCGGGGAGGGGGGGGGGGCGGCGGCTCGCGCGCTGGCGGAGGTGGAAGGAGGGTCGCTGCCCTGCCCCCTCTGAGCAGGCGGCAGTCGAGTTTTCCGATCCCAACACGGCGGAGAGGGTGCTGAGATGCTAGGCATGGGCCTTAAGGGGTAGTTCCCGTCTGGAAACAATACCGTGCTCCAACAGCATGCTTCGGTTTTTCTTATTTTTATCTGCCCAGTGTTGACAGCCAGCATTCTGGTATTGTCCTTCGAGTCATGGCTTTCTAACTCAGCACCTTGTGTAACTTCAGGGATCATTCTGTCACTAATCTGTCACCCTTTTTATTTTTAGCGTGGCAAAAACAAGGAACTGCCTTATACTAACCTGTGCAGGATCTGGAACAATTTATTAATCTCAGTGCGTACTTTACATGCCAAGTAATTTTGAAATTCATGGTGAATATTAAATATTTTGTAGTTTTCGGTTACTTTCTTTGTGTATAGTATATCCTCCTTGCTTTGAGACTACTTTTTAGGTGTGATACTTTAATCTTACAGTTTTTGGTTAGCTTTTGCCATTTTTAAACGTTTTTTTCATTTTTTTTCCTCCAAGACTTTGGCTAGAGACTTAGTATTTGATCTTGTTTTCAGGTATTTTTGTAAAGTTTGTTTTCTTTCAAACTGGGCTTTTTTCACCGTATTTTTAATACTGGAAGGGGAATTCTGAGAGTCTGGAAACTGCGCACTTTAGCCTAAAGAGCCACAAAACAGTATAACAATTTGAAATCCTAACTTGGATATGGTGTATGGACTGCAAATTTTAAGAGAAGGAAATGGATATGCCTTATCAGTTGCAGTGGCTCAACCTCCATAACCTAGAGGAGAGGAATCTGGAGGTCTGGGGAGAATGAGCCGTGTCTGGGGCCAGAAACAAAGTGGTTCCAGGAATTTTTTTTGCTCCAGAAATAGCCTGCCTCCCACACAGACTAGCTGTCTGAATGCATCTGATAGTTTTAGGTTAGGTGTTAGTGAGGTGGAGAGTTTTCGTGTTCTAATTTTGACCACTTTCTGGTGGAGCATGAAAATGTGGTGAGTAAACAAGTATAGTATACAATAGGGGCACTCTTGCATAGTCAAGCCTCCAAGAGTAAACTTTCTTTGAGCCCAAACTGGCACTGGACAGTTGGCCTTAAAAATAAGGTGACCCACCCAGTTTTTAAACCATGAACCTTTTTTGGCTGGTCCATTTAATGCAGAATTGCAAGGAATTTGTAACGAAAAAAACCTTCACTAAAATGAAGAGAATTTAGGGTGTCATGTGGATAAAATGAGACTTGAAATAGTTGGACTACTTGTATATTATTTAATCATTTTAGTCCTGTGAGATGGGTACTGATTACTGTCATTTTATAGATGAGCAAACCAAGATTTAGTTAACTAATTTGTTCAAGATTTCTTCACTAATGAGTCAGTAGAGGTGAGATTTACACCTATACACTCTGATTCCAAAGCCTACATTCCAAGCCATTATACTTTATTACCACAGTAAAATTGGATTCTTGGAGACTTTATAGTAGGAGACTACTCAGTGGAAAATAATGCTGCAAAACCGTAAATTGAATCCACTATTGTACATAGTAACACTTTGAGATCATTGTATAATAGGCACTATTGGATTTTGCTGAAGATAAAGGGATGGAGTTACCTTCTCTGTGTTTGAGGAGCATCCATTTGATGGGAGAGATAGGTATTTGAACAAACTATGATAATACAATACGATATATACAGATTCAGCATCTGTAAACTGAAAATCTGAAATGCTGTAAAATCTGAAACCTTTTGAGTGTCAAGATGTTGCCACAAGACACTTGACTTCATATGACAGGTTACAGTCAAAATACAGTCAAGCCGGGCGCGGTGGCTCACGCCTGTAATCCCAGCACTTTGGGAGGCCAAGGAGGGTGGAGCACCTGAGGTCAGGAGTTCAAGGCCAGCCTGACCAATATGATGAAACCCCGTCTCTATTGAAAATACAAAAAAAATTAGCCGGGCGTGGTGGCATGCACCTGTAGTCCCAGCTACTCCGGAGGCTGAGACAGAAGACTCACTTGAATCCAGGAAGTGGAGGTTGCAGTGAGCCGAGATTGTGCCACTGCACTCCAGCCTGAGTGACAGAGCAAGACACCATCTCAAAATAAAAAATAAAAAAAGTCAAAACTTTGTTTCATGCACAGAATTATTTTAAAATGTTATATAAAATTACCTTCGGGCTATGTGTATAAGGTGTAAATGAAACATAAATGAATTTTGTGTTTATACTTGGGTCCCATCTCTAAGATATCTCTTTATGTATATGCAAATATTCCAAAATCCAAAATGCTTGTGGTCCCAATAATTCTTGAGACAAGAATTCAGTTAAAGTATAGACAGTCTGGATTTGAATTCCTGGAACATAATACCAAACCTCTTTTAGCATCAGTTCCCTTATCTGTTTAATGGAAAGGATAATACTTCAAAGACGATATTAAGCCTTAAATAAAATATATAAAGTACTGGCACATGGAAAGCAGTGAATAAAAAAGAAACAATAATTTTAAGAGAGAACTAGTTGGGTTTCAGGGGAGCTAACACTGAAGCCTTAAAGGTCTGAAGGTGGTATTTGTAGGTGGGGAAGGAGGGCATTCCATGCAGAACAGGAAGAGGCAGAGTCTCAGAACAGAAATGTGGATTGCTGAGGGAATGGTAAGTAATTGTAGCTTTGTATAAAATGTATGTGTGAAGGCCAGGTTTAAGTGATAATGGTATGTAAATGTGATTGGACAAAGTGAGTACTACCCAATTTTGATAATTGGAAATTGCATACTTAGATACTAAAATTACAGGAAAACCTCAGCAGTTTGTCCATTATTACATGTTTATTTAATATTTACCTTCCAATACTTATTTTCCCAGTTCAAAGTAAGACTCGAAGAATTCCAAAGTGACGGTTGCCATCCTTTAACCCCTTTACCTAGTCTGTAACCACCTGGAGTCATTATTGCAAACACCCCTTTGCATATTTTGACTGTCTTTTCTTAACCCCTACTTGATATATGATAGTGGGCCAGAATTTTTTTTATTTTGAGACAGAGTCTCATTCTGTCTTCCAGGTTGGAGTAGAAGTGCGATCACTGTAAAACCTTGAACTGTCAGGCTCAGGCAATCGTGTTGCCTCAGTCTCCTGAGCAGCTACACCTGCAGGCATGCACCACTGTGTCCAGCTAATTTTTTAATTTTTATTTTTTTGTAGATACAGGGTCTTGCTATGTTGGGCAGGCTAGAGACCTCAAGCGATTTTCCCACCTTGGCCTCCCAAAGTCTTGGGATTACACATGTGAGCCTCCACACCTGGCCAGGGTGTTTTAAATTGGGACTGCCCTTGAAAATCTGAGAAAGTCTCATGCTTCTGTCTTCTCAGATTAATACCGAACCATAAATACATTAAATTTACAAATCTGAAACATCACTTGATGACCAGAATCATGTGAAAGTGGAAAATATTAAGTGACATTTAGGAAAACTGCATTTTTAGTCCACCTTGTTAGTCTCATGAAAATTGCTAATGTGACACAAAATATAGAAGTGAGTTTTCAGATGAGAACAACTGACTGCTTCCTAGAACAGGTAGTTGTAGAGCACTAGGAATGAAAATATGCTGGATTTTATTCTGGGTACCGAACAGGAACTGGGGCAGGAAATAGCTGTGGCTGAACCACTACCTGATAATAATCATAACATGATTAAATTTGACATTTAAGGAGAGGAAGTAAAGGGAAAAGTGCATAGTGTGCAGCTTTCCAGTTGCAAAAACAGTTCAAGAAAGGGGCTGTTCAAAGTATATCTACAGCAATTTTAAAGACATGTAGTTGTTGCATGAATGAAAGTACTTTTGTAAGACCTTCTGTATAGGATTTGTTACAGATAGCAAAAAATGTATGAAACTTAGGTGGCACGGGTTTTGGTGCTCTATAGACCTAGGTTCAAGGCCTGATACTGACATCACTGGTTGTGTGACATTGGACTCCTTATGTAATATTTTTGAGGTTCAGTTTTATTTATTCACCAAATGGAGTTACCTACTTTCTGAGATTTTAAGAATTAAATGAGATAATAATGTATGTAAAGCACTTAACATATTCTTGGTTTATAAGACTAGCTCAAAAAGTGGTTGCTGCAATTATTTGACTAAGTTGAACAGGCGTGTGTGCGTGTGTGTATGTATGTTTTAAAATACCAATCTTTTCAGATAGAATAAGAGAAGCCAGAAAATGTCCAACAAGCAAATAAAACCTTAAAAAGAGGCAATAGGATTCAACAGGTAGAGTTGAATAATCATTTTACCCACACAAAAGAAGGGAAAATATATGGAGAGAGCTTCACATTATCAACTTTTTTCTGAAGAAAGTACATCAAATTCATTAAACCAGATGGAGTGCATAAATAAGGTTTTGCTATTCGAAATGACAATGAAAAACATAAGTGAAGTAGGGTTTCAGTACCATGAATTAAGTGTATAGGGAAAGGGACTCGTTTTCTCAAATCTCTTAACCACTTTCTTATTTCTAAAATTCTTTGACAAGGAAAAGCTATTAATTGTATAGTTATGGGAATGCTTTAATTGCAAGTAATCCTGGGAGACAGAGCATACTGATTTATCTACACAGATTTCCTGCGTGTTCATTCCGTATATCCCATTGTCTTTTGTGTGTCTTTTAGGTGCTGAATGTATGAATGCATCATTTGTTGAAAAATAAACCCATCTTCTTGTTCCTAAATCTGTTTTACCCTTGTAGTCTCTATCTTAATGAGGGTTCTTTTTTTCGTTTGATATAGAGTTTTGCTCTTGTTGCCCAGGCTGGAGTGCAATGGTGCGATCTTGGCTCACTGCAGCCTCCTTCTCCTGACTTTAAGCAATTCTCCTGCCTCAGCCTTGCGAGTAGCTGGGATTACAGGTGCCCGTCACCATGCCCAGCTAATTTTTGTATTTTTAGTAGAGATGGGGTTTCACCATGTTGGCCAGGCTGGTCTTGAACTCCTGACCTCAGGTGATCCACCCGCCTTGGCCTCCCAAAGTGCTGGGATTACAGGCGTGAGCCACCATGCCTGGCCTTAATGAGGGTTCTTTTAGTGTTCAAGCCAAGAGTCATGTGGTGTCCTTACTCTGTTCCTCTCCATATCTTTAATTGCCAGTCAATTACTACATCTGGTCCTCTGTCTGCTTCTACTAACATCCATCTTTCAATCTGGCCTGGTCCCAACACCCACAATTAAGAAAAAAACAAAACAACCATTGCCACTGACTTAGTTCAAACCTCATTATTGTCCCCAAATTATGTCATTTATTTCCTTTTAGGAAATTAAATTCTTCACACAGCTTCTTTACACAGTTCTTCACACAGCTTCCTTCAGAATAATTTTGCTGAAATACCAACATAATGATATCAAAATTATATTTTTAGTGTCTGCACATGACGGTTAATAAATATTTGATCCTTCCATGTATCTTAAACTTCAGACAATACTAAGTGACTTACATATATAGGCTTGTTAGGCTTGGGATTTTCTTTGTGGGAAGGATTTTAACTGTAAATTCAATTTCTTTAATAGACACAGACTTACTCAGTTTATTTCTTCTTGAGTTAGCATTGATAGTTTGTATTTTCCTAGGAATCTGTTCATTTCATCTAAAGTTGTTAAATTCATTGGCATAAAATTATTCATGACATTTTCTTATTAATCTTTTTAATATCTGTAAGACATATAGTGCTGTCCTCTCTCTCATTCTGACTGCTGTCTTTTCTCTTTTCTCTTCTGTTCTCCTGGCTAGATGTTTATTGATCTATTTTATTGATCCTCTCAGAGAACCAGTTTTTAGTTTTTTGTATTGATTTTCTATCCTCAATTTCACTGGTTTCTATTCATCTTTATTATTTTTGTTTCTACTGTTTATTTTGCATTTTATTTGTTCTTGATTTGCTAGAATCTTAAGTTGGAAGCTTGGCTCATAATTTGAAACATTTATTCTTCTCGAAAAGGAGTGTTTAATTCTATAAAATTCTCCCCTAAATAGTGTTTTGACTGCATCTCATGAATTTTGATATGTTTTCATTTTCATTAAAGTTCAGAATCCTTGATAAATTCCTTTGTGATTTCTTTGACTCCACTTGTTATTTAGAAGTATGTAGATGAGTTTCCAAATATTTGGGGATTTTTCAGATATTTTTTCCTTAGTTTTAACTTGATTTCGCTGTGGTCAAAGAACATACATTGTATGTTTTGAATCATTTTAAATTTATTGAGACTTGTTTTATGGCCCAGATTATGGTCTGCCTTGGCAAATGATTCATTCACACTTGAAAATAATTTTGGGTGGAGTGGTTTATAAATGTCAGTCAAGGCTGGGTGGGATGGCTCACACCTGTAGTCCCAGCACTTTGGGAGGCCGAGGCAGGGGGATCATTTGAGGTCAGGAGTTCGAGACCAGCCTGGCCAACATGTTGAAACCTCGTCTCTACTAAAAGTACAAAAAATTAGCTGAGGTTGGTGGTGTGTGCCTGTAGTCCTAGGTACTCAGGAGGCTGGGGCAGAAGAATTCTTTGAACCTAGAAGGTGGAGGTTACAGCAAGATCACACCACTACACTCTAGCCTGGGTGACTCCATCTCAAAAAAAAAAAAAGTCAGTCAAGTCAAGTTGGTTGATAGAATTGTTCAGGTCTTCTATATGTCCTTGTTGATTTTGTCTACTTGTTATATCAATTTTTGAAAGAATGGTATTGAATCTCTATAGATGTGGACTTGCTGATTTCTCCTTGCAATTCTTTAAATTTTTGCATTATGTATTTTGAAGTTCTATTGCTAGGTGCACGCATATTTATGATTGTTATGCTTGCTTGGTGAATTGGATCCCTTTATCATTGTGAAATGGACCTCTTTAATCCTGGTAATATGTTTTGCTCTGAAATCTATTTTGTATAGCCATTCGAGCTTTGTTTTCATTGGAGTTAACATGATATTTTTTTCCATCTTTTTACTTTCTACCTTTTTTATGTTTATATTTAAGTGAGTATCTGACAGATACACATAAAAATAGGTCTTGCTTTTGGGTCTTGGGTCTTGCTTTTTAAAATCCAGTTTCCTAATCTCTGCCTTTTAATTTAGACCATTTACATTTAATGTGATTATTGATATTATTGGGTTTAAGTCTATCATCTTGCTATTTGTTTTTTGTCTCATCTGTTCTTTCTACCTTTTTTGGATTCTTTGAGTATTTTTATGACTTCACTTTATAACCATTTTTGACTTGTCTGTAACTCTTTTTTTCTTGTAGTTTTGTTTGTAGTAGCTAGTATACATCATTATTACAGTCTACTTTTGAGTAATAAAACTACTTCATATATTTTATGAGAACCTTTTAACAGTATAGTGTTTCCCCTTTCTGAAACTTTGTGCTGTTATTTGTGCTGTATATTTTAAATCCCAAACTATGTTGTTGATCTTTTAGCTTTAGTCAGTTCTCTTTTAAAGAGATTTAAACACACATACACACACATACATTTTATATACATAAAAATTTTTAAAGACTCTTAGATTTGCCCCTTTTAAGGTTGAATAATATCCTATCATATGTATGTACTATTTTTTGTTCATCTATTGATGGACATTTGGGCTGCTTCCGCCTTTTGCCTATTGTCAGTAGTGCTGCTATGAATATGAGTGTGTGAGTATCTCTTTGAAACTCTGCTTTCAATTCTTTTGGATATATTCACAGAAATGCGATTGCTGAATCATATGGTAGTTCTATTTTTAATCTTTTTGTACCATTTTACAATTGCATCAACAGTGCAGAAGGGCTCCAATTTTTCCACATTTTCATCAATATTTATTTTCTGTTTTTTTTGTTTTGTTTTTATGATAGCCATCCTAATGGATGTAAGGTGATATCTTGTGGTTTTGATTTGTACTTTTCTGATAATTAGTGATGTTGAGCATCTTTTTGTGTGCTTGTTGGCCATTTGTGTATCATCTTTGGGCACATGTCCATTCAAATCCTTTGCCCATTTTTAAATCAGGTTATTTGATTTTTTGTTATTGTGTTGTAGGAGTCATCTATATATTCTGGATATCAACCCCTTACCAGATTTATGATTTGCAAATATTTTCTCCCATTCTGCAAGGGAGAAAAATATATGCCTTTTGATGCACAAAAGGTTCTAAGTTTGACGTAGTCCCATTTGTCTGTGTTTGCTTTTGTTGCCTATACTTTTGGTGTTATAGCCAAGAAATAATTGCCAAGTCAGATGTTATGAAGCTTTCTCCTGTGTTTTCTTCTAGGAGTTTTTTAGTTTTATTTCTTATGTTTAGGTGTTTAATCAATTTTGAGTTAAGTTTTGTAGAGGGTGTAAGATAAAGGTCCACCTTCATTCTTTTTGTTGTATCCCATTTTCCAAGCACCATTTGTTGAAGAGATTGTTCTTTTCCTACTGAGTGGTCTTGGTACCCTCATTGAAGATTATTTGACCACATAAATGAGGGTTTATTTCTTGGGTCTTTATTACATTTGTTGATTTATCTTTATACCAATATCACACTGTTGTGATTACTGTTTTGTAATATGTTTTGAAATCAGGACGTGTGAGTCCTCCAAATTTGTTGTTCTTTTTAAAAATTGCTTTGGCTATTTGGGGTCCCTTAAGATTCGATATATATTTTAGTATGAGTTTTTTGGTTTCTGCCAAAAATGCTCTTGGGATTTTGATAGGGATTGCACTGAATCTGTAGATTGCTTTGGGTAGTATGGAAATTTTAACCATGTTACATTTCTCAGTCCATGAACATGGGATTTCTTTTCATTTATTTGAGTCTTTAATTTCTTTTAGCAATGTTTTAAATAATAGATGTTGCAATATCCTTGTTTACAAGTCCTTTCATCTTTGTCATTTGTGGGTCTGATTCTGTTTCCTCATCATGAATTATATTTTCCTGTTTACTTATATGCCTGCTAATTTTTGTTTGAATGCCAGACATTTTGTATTTCACGTTGTTTAAAGCTGTAATTGGTCTTCCTGCTCCTTTTTGGTGATTCTTTCCATTGCTTCAGGTAATTTTTCCTACACTGCATATGCCAGTCAATATTCAACTGAAGACTTAAGGGGAATCCTCTACAGAGCTACAGAACTGTCTTTGTGCAGTTCTCTCCTCTTTGGATACTTTGCTCTAGGAATTCTAGCTGCCTTGATGTCTCTGAATACTCAAATCTGGCTTGTCAATGTAGGGATACTTCTGGGCTTTGGATTTTCCCCTTCTGGCACTGCATCCTGGAAACTTTGCAGACAGCACACTTGGACAATCATAGGGCTCACTTTTTGTTTCCACTCTTTCAAGGATGTGCTATCAGTTACCCAAATATCTGAAAACATTTCACTTTTTTTCCTAACTTTTTAGTTTTTAAATGGAGAGGAATAATCTGGTTCTCATTACTCCCATCATGGCTAGAAGTGGGAACTCCTGTATACTGAGTTTTGAAGTAATATTTTAAATGGAAAGTATAAAAAGTACCATTTTGGTTTTATTATTTTTAAATCCCAAATTTGTGTTTAGGGTGCATAAGCATTGTATAGCCAGAACCAGAGTAGACTATAGGTTTGATTGGCTGAATGTGTTTAGGTTCATTGTCAACATTCCTGTTTCCCTTGAAATAAATGTAGGCATGTATGATGAGTTAAAAGGTAAGCAAATAATTGCATTTTCTTATATAAACCCAGTTCATTTTTTTTTTTTTTTTTTGAGTTGGAGTCTCTCTTTGTCACCCAGGCTAGAGTACAGTGGCGTGATCTTGGCTCACTACAACCTCCGCCTCCTGGGTTCAAACGATTCTCCTGCCTCAACTTCCCAAGTAGTTGGGACTACAGGCAGGCACCACTGTACCCAGCTAATATTTGTATTTTTAGTAGAGACGGGGTTTTGCCATGTTAGCCAGGCTGGTCTCAAACTCCTGACCTCAGGTGATCTGCCCACCTTGGCCTCCCAAAGTTCTGGGATTACAGGCATGAGCCACCACTCCCAGCTGAATGATGTTCAGTGTGAGATTGGTTGATTTTTCCTCGTGATTAGATTTGGGTTATGTATTTTATTTTTATTTTTTATTTTTGAGACAGAGGTTTGCTCTTGTGGCCCAGGCTGGAATGCAGTGGTGCCATGTTGGCTCACTGCAACCTCCACCTCTTGGGTTCAAGCGATTCTCCTGCCTCAGCCTCCAAAGTAGTTGGGACCAGGCACCCACCGCCATGCCCAGCTAATTTTTGTATTTTTAGTAGAGACAGGGTTTCATCATGTTGGCCAGGCTGGTCTTGAACTCCTGACCTCAAGTGATCCACCCACCTCAGCCTCCCAAAGTATTGGGATTACAGGCATGAGCCACT